CACACAAAACCTTCCCTCTCCTGCTCCCCCAAGTCCCTTCTCTTGTTGTAAATAATCCGCCACGGGGCGAGAAGGTGGAGTGCCGGTACTAAGTTGTGGCCCTCTCGTGTCTCCTTAACAGGTTGTTGATCGGGGCGCCCAAGTTCGACACGGAGCAGAGCCAGCGGGACGTCATCGAGGCCGGGGCGGTGCTGCAGTGTTCCTCGGAGATCGCCAGCTACTGCGAGTACATCCCCTTCGACAGGAACGGTGAGGCTCACCCTCCTGCTCCTTCCTGCTGGGGGCGGTGGGGACGGGGCGGGGCGGGTGGGATTTACTGGGCTGGGTTTCAAGGGAGGTTGGGAGATTATAAGTTGAGTTTCAGGGGCGGTTGGGAGATTATAAGTTGAGTTTCAGGGGCGGTTGGGAGATTATAAGTTGAGTTTCAGGGGCAGTTGAGAGATTATAAGTTGAGTTTCAGGGGCGGTTGGGAGATTATAAGTTGAGTTTCAGGGGCAGTTGAGAGATTATAAGTTGAGTTTCAGGGGCGGTTGGGAGATTATAAGTTGAGTTTCAGGGGCAGTTGAGAGATTATAAGTTGAGTTTCAGGGGCGGTTGGGAGATTATAAGTTGAGTTTCAGGGGAGGTTGGGTTGGTTGAACCTATACCTATAATAGGTTAAGTAATAATTGTAATTAAGAAGCAATAAGAAGCTTATCTTAACATACTAAGAAGGTTAGGTAAGGTCGGTGTTTTCTACGAAGCTTTTCAAGGTTAACTAAAATATTCACTATAAATTAGTATGTCACATATGAACTTATTTAATAAGTCAATATTGACTGTACGAAAGTGCGAGAACGGGTTGCATCCTGTAGCCTCATACTATCTTCCTCCGTCTTAATCCTCCTCATAATTTTTGCATCATCAGCAAACAATGAGAGGAATGATTCTATACCCTCTGGTAGATCATTTACATATATAAGAAACAGTATAGGTCCAAGGACTGACCCCTGCGGGACTCCACTGATGACGTCTCGCCAGTCTGAGACCTCACCCCTCACAGTGACTCGCTGTCTTCTGTTACTTAGGTACTCCCTTACCCAATGTGTGTAAGTTTACACGTGTGTAAACCTGTGTTTGGCGTTGTGTCTGTGAGAACATGTTGTCTGCGTTTTAAACATGTTCATTCTTTATGGTAAATATATATAAAATATCGGTATTTATTTAGGCCTGTGTTAAATATACATCTATACAAACAGAAGGTTTTTATTAATGTAAATTAGGCCCTAGGTTGAGTGTATGGCTGATACTGAAAGCAACGTGGGCCTGTGTCCAATTTGGTGCTAATATTTGAATTACTTTGGCATGTGTTGAAGTATATAGTAGGCCTATGTTATATATGTATATATGTGTATAGGATGTATCTTTCAGATATACTGCATGTACATAGAGCATACAGTATATGTAAGGATTATGTATTGTATGGTAAACAGTTCATATTAATGCTTAGATATGTATTTATATATTTTCACACATTTGTGGTGAGTGTTTAATTAAGGAGACCCCCCCCCCATTATATGCCCTTGTTAACCCGAGTGGGAGTGTGTACTAACACGTGTGCCTCAACGCGTCCTCCTCCAGGCAACACGGGCATACCCACCATGATATTCGAGCCCTTCAATAAGAGTAAGACAATGTCTTAATAATTTTGTGTCTGTGGCTACTTATTTTTATGTGTGTGAGCTTGGCCCGTGGGGCGGTAATTATATTGGACAGGTGTTCTGTGTTAATGGGGGGTGGACAGATGAAACAGGTGTGCTGACTGTAATAATGGGAGTTGTTTGTGGCAGGTGTACACAATGTACTAGAGACAGATAGATGAGACAGGTGTACAAGCTGTGCTCCTAATTGGAAGATGTACATGGAACATCATCCTTGTCCAAGATAATTACTACCCCCCCCCCCCCCAGGGGCTCTTCCCCCCCCCCCCGTCTGGCCTTAGGCCTATTCATCAACGCTCCTACACTTGTTACTCCCCCTCCCCCACCCCCCTCTCCCCATCCTCAATTTCTCCCTCTTCTCGTTTTATTCTCTTTCTCTCATATCTATTCTTTGTCTTTTTTTACCTTTCCTATTTTTTTTATGTGTTGATGTAATACATAAATGATATGTATTACAGTTTGCCATTCATATTGTTTATGTATTACCAGCCGGGCTCTTGTGGATGTGATTCATTATCGTAATTATCATTATACTGTCATGCATTATATATATATATATATATATATATATATATATATATATATATATATATATATATATATATATATATAATGCATGACAGTATAAATGATAATTACATAATACACAACTTTAGAACACTTTCCCACCAGGAGACTCGAACCCTAGCCAGCACAGAAGCCTTGCCATATATATATATATATATATATATATATATATATATATATATATATATATATATATATATATATATATATATATTACTTTATATTGGTAGCAGTCTTTCCTGTATATATTCATATTTAATAATATATATTATTAAATAATATATATATATATATATATATATATGGCCTGATGTCATAATAAGTTAAGTTGCAGATATTTGCTTCTACGTCACTTTCAATGTTCCATTTATTTATTTTTTTTACTCTATCTCTTTACTATTTCGTCTCTCTCACACTCCCCCATCTCCTGCCAGTGTAATTTCCCCCCTCCCTCCCTCCCTCTCCCTCCCTCTCCCTCACTCACCCCCAATCCCTCACCCTCTCCCTATCTTGAGCGCTGCCAGAGGCATGTGAGTGTGCAGCGTTGCCTCCTGAGCACCCTCGCAGCGGTCAGTGTTGCATGAGCAGCACAAGAGCAACAACAGTCAGTAATCAACGCTTTCCCTGTATGCACCGACGCTTTAAATGGCTGGGAAGTATAGTGTTTGTATGATCACGTTGGTATACAGTGAAATCACAGTAATGTGGTGTGTCTGTGGGACAATATTGAGGCCATACGATGGGCTCGAACTTGCGTTCCTGGACTCCTCCCCTCATGCATACGCTCGGGCTCATCGTGGTTCAGTTGGTAATGCGTGTGCCTGAGGCGTCTAGGGGACGGCTCTACCGGAAACTGTTTTTTTTATATAACAACCAATCTTCTGATTGGATTCTGTAATTGTGTATCATACAAGCACCAACAGTCTGATAGTTTTAAACCATTGTGAATGTTATAAGCACCAACGTTATAAGATAATTTATAATAATTATAATTATTATTTTTCCTAAATGTTCTGCCAGCACCAACAGCCTCAATGTCTTATATGTACTAATGTTCTCATTGTTGACCCAATGTGACCTCTCCCTCCCTCGGTGGTGACCCATAGTGTGACCTTCCTCTCTAAGTCATGACCAACATACAGTGCCCCCCACTACCCGGTACTGACACATACAGTGCCCCCCACTACCCGGTACTGACACATACAGTGCCCCCCACTACCCGGTACTGACATATACAGTGCCCCCACTACCCGGTACTGACATACAGTGCCCCCCACTACCCGGTACTGACATACAGTGCCCCCCACTACCCGGTACAGACATCCAGTGCCCCCCACTACCCGGTACAGACATCCAGTGCCCCCCCACTACCCGGTACAGACATACAGTGCCCCCCACTACCCGGTACTGACATACAGTGCCCCCCACTACCCGGTACAGACATACAGTGCCCCCCACTACCCGGTACTGACATACAGTGCCCCCCACTACCCGGTACTGACATACAGTGCCCCCCACTACCCGGTACTGACATACAGTGCCCCCCACTACCCGGTACTGACATACAGTGCCCCCCACTACCCGGTACAGACATCCAGTGCCCCCCCACTACCCGGTACAGACATACAGTGCCCCCCACTACCCGGTACAGACATCCAGTACCCCCCACTCCCCAGTACTGACTCCCTCGTGTGGCCCTTCCCACAGGCAACAACGTCCACCCGCTGGGCCAGCAGCTGGACAACAAGAGCCACCAGTGGTTCGGGGCCACCGTCAGGAGCTCTGGGGAGGACGGCGTCGTGGTGGTGAGTACTCTTCTCCAAGTACATTCCTCATAGTCACGGCCTGGTGGTCAGCGAAGAGCACCTCGCTTGTCGTTACGTGATCAGTGTGTGTGTGCGTGTGTGTGTGTGTGTGTGTGTGTGTATACATTATACATGGTTACCGGGGTGGAAGGAAAGGAGAGAGCGCTTCTGCTCTTCCTCACGCGCCAGGGGAAACAAAGAGAGCCTAGCAACTCTCCCCCGACGGCTTGTTGTCAGGTCTTGTCCCCCCCCCCCAGGGTGGTGAGGTACCTTGAGGTTACCTTGAGGTGCTTCCGGGGCTTAGCGTCCCCGCGGCCCGGTCGTCGACCAAGTAGGACAAGATGTCGTAAGGTGAGTACCTCTGGGCAGTCACGTCCACCAGGTCACATTGTCATGCCACAGTAATCAGGGTAGACACCTCCGCGTCCAGTGCCCCCAAAGGAATCCATCCAACGCTGCTAGCTCGCATGCAAGTTATGAGGCTATGAGCCCCAGTATTTGTCAACCTTGAATTTTCTTTACTAGGTTCAGGTTATCTTGAGGTTATCTTGAGATGATTTCGGGGCTTTTAGTGTCCCCGCGGCCCGGTCCTCGACCAGGCCTCCACCCCCCAGGAAGCAGCCCGTGACAGCAGACTAACTCCCAGGTACCTATTTACTGCTAGGTAACAGGGGCATTCAGGGTGAAAGAAACTTTGCCCATTTGTTTCTGCCTCGTGCGGGAATCGAACCCGCGCCACAGAATTACGAGTCCTGCGCGCTATCCACCAGGCTACGAGGCCCCCTACGAGGTGATTAGTGTATTAATATAAAGGGCTTCCGTATAGGTCAAAGCATGGCATAGATTAAGACATAGAGGCATAACGGAAGCTCAGTGTCTCAATTTAACGTGCCCGTACTAGCCTCATCCAGTGCACAAACTAACCGGGCACTCTCGGCCACCAACCAATCAACGTTGCTCTACTGGAAGAATTCAGGCAGCTATGATATTACTTTCACAAGGAATTAAGAGGCTTCGTAGTCAAACAAAGTCCACTTACCACAACCACCACTCACCACAACCACCACCACAATTACTCACTACCACCACTACTCACCACTCCTAGAGCCACCATCAACTGTCCAACCCCCCCCCCCCCCTTCAATTCTCGCCCATGTCCCGGGTCTTAATATGGAGGCCAGCAGTTCTCCCCCCTAGATAACACCCCCCCTCCACCCCCCCACCCCCCTCAGCCTGAAGACTGAAGTCTGCCAGGCAGCCGGTGGATAGGGTGGAGGGGCGGGAGGACACGCTACCCACATCCACGGATGTCAGTCGTCCCGCCTGGGATAAAGGGGCCGACGGGCGACTTTAGGGAAGGATAGATTCTTGATTCATGTTTGTCTTGAACCCGGGGGAGGGGAGGGAGAGGTGGGGGATGGTGAAGGGGTCGGTGTCTCACGACGGAGACGCAGACGGTGTGTGTGTGTGTGTGTGTGTGTGTGTGTGTGTGTGTGTGTGTGCGTCGGTGTGTGTGTGTGTGTGTGCGACGGTGGGTGTGTGTGTGTGTGCGACGGTGGGTGTGTGTGTGTGAGGGTGTGTGTGTGTGTATGTGTTTTTTGTGTGTCTTTATGGTGGGTTGTGAGGGAGCCGGGTTTTTTTATTTTTTTTCCTCTAAATGTTGAAGACTGAGGTGTTTATGTCGGGGTTGTGTTCTTGCGAGGATTATGGGGGGGGGATGGTTTTGTGTGTGTTTACTACTTTGTATTTAGCTTGTTGTTGTAGATTCAACTACATGGAACATAAAGTTCCAAGTAGCACGGGCTATGGTGAGCCCGTCCTGTATTTACCATTTGTGCCTGCAGAATCAAGCAAATTAGCTCTTGGACCTCACCTGTTTAACTAATCTATTTTTCCTCTATAATGTCTAATATATATATTTCTTTCTAACACACACACACACACACACACACACACACACACACACACACACACACACACACACACACACACACACACACACACACACACACTAACACACTAACACACACGGGGAACCTCACCAGGCCCAGACACCGGAAGGATTGACAGATAGGTGAGTACACACACACACACACACACACACACACACACACACACACAAAATAAAATAGTGTATGGAAAAAAACAGTAGTTAGTAACAGTTAATTGACAGTTGAGAGGCGGCCCGTAAGAGCAGAGCTCAACCCCCGCAAGCACAACTATGTGAACACACACCCCAGGAAGCAGCCCGTGACAGCTGACTAACTCCCAGGTACCTATTTACTGCTCGGTAACAGGAGCATCAGGGGTGAAAGAAGCTCTTCCCATTTTATTTGTACCATCAGCGGGGATCGAACCACTGGACCCTATGATTACGAGTCCAGAGCGCTGTCCACTCAGCTACCAGGCCCCCACTGACCGCCCCGTGTGTGTGTGGGGGGAGGGGTGGGGTGTTGTACTGACCTAGATGTGCTGGCAAGGGTGTGGTGACATATTATAAAGAAGCCCTCGTACTCCCTTGTTGTGTGACTGTACTGGAGACTGCTTGTCTAGGCTCTTAAGTTCCGCTCACTTTCAAGCTTTTAAGTTCCAGTCACTTAAGCTCCGCTCACTCTCAAGCTCTTAAGTTCCGCTCACTCTCAAGCTCTTAAGCTCCGGTCACGGTTAAGCTCTTAAGTTCCAGTCACTTAAGCTCCGCTCACTCTCAAGCTCTTAAGTTCCGCTCACTCTCAAGCTCTTAAGTTCCAGTCACGGTTAAGCTCTTAAGTTCCGATCACTCTCAAGCTCTTAAGTTCCAGTCACGGTTAAGTATACCAAGAGTTTGGTGAGAGAAAAGCTAACATTTTTCAGGCGAGAAGTAACTCTACCTTATAGTGTGCGATGGAACCCACGATAACCTGATGTATCTATGAGAAAATATTGAGGCCATTCAGTGGGATCGAACCCGCGTTACTGAACTCCCAGCCCCGCCCCCCGGCACTGCCGAGGGCACCACGATGAGCCTATACCGCACGCATTCAATATATTTGTTTTTGTCATGTACTGTTGCATTTTCAACCCATTTAATATTGAGTCCGTGGTGAGATCTGCGAGTGTGTGGTGGGGGCTATTTTGGTCTCCAGTGGGGGCAGTGGGGGCGGAGGGGGACGGGTGTAAATCACAGTAGTCCATTTAGATAGGTGGGGTGAAGGGGGCGCGGTTATTGAGCACCCCCACCACCACCACCACCACCACCCGGCTCCCCTCCATCCCCAACCTAACTACCTTCATCCCCTAACCTAACTACCACCATCCCCTAACCTAACTACCTCCATCCCCTAACCTAACTACCTCCATCCCCTAACCTAACTACCTCCATCCCCTAACCTAACTACCACCATCCCCTAACCTAACTACCTCCATCCCCTAACCTAACTACCTCCATCCCCTAACCTAACTACCACCATCCCCTAACCTAACTACCTCCATCCCCTAACCTAACTACCTCCATCCCCTAACCTAACTACCACCATCCCCTAACCTAACTACCTCCATCCCCTAACCTAACTACCACCATCCCCTAACCTAACTACCTCCATCCCCTAACCTAACTACCTCCATCCCCTAACCTAACTACCTCCATCCCCTAACCTAACTACCTCCATCCCCTAACCTAACTACCACCATCCCCTAACCTAACTACCTCCATCCCCTAACCTAACTACCTCCATCCCCTAACCTAACTACCTCCATCCCCTAACCTAACTACCACCATCCCCTAACCTAACTACCTCCATCCCCTAACCTAACTACCTCCATCCCCTAACCTAACTACCACCATCCCCTAACCTAACTACCTCCATCCACTAACCTAACTACCACCATCCCCGAACCTAACTACCTCCATCCCCTAACCTAACTACCACCATCCCCTAACCTAACTACCACCATCCACTAACCTAACTACCACCATCCCCTAACCTAACTACCACCATCCTCTAACCTAACTACCACCATCCACTAACCTAACTACCACCATCCCCTAACCTAACCGACCACCCTCTCCACCACCAACCCACCTCACTAGTTATTGGTCTACAATTATATCATCGTAACTTTAGCGTTTTCGTATACTTTTATCACGGATGTAAACCGCAGGAAACTCAAGAGGTAAACCACAATTGGACTAACACGAATCACTTTCAATTTGAGCATTTATTTGTAACTTGGGTAATCGTCGCTTGTTATTTTTATTTCCTCTTGTTGTTGACATGGCGAGCTGCGTCTTGGACTCTACAGCTCTGCCTCTTGGACTCTACAGCTCTGCCTCTAGGAGTGTTCAGTGCTCTGCCTCTCGGACTCTACAGCTCTGCCTCTAGGAGTGTTCAGTGCTCTGCTTCTTGGATTCTACAGCTCTGCCTCTTGGACTCTACAGCTCTGCCTCTTGGACTCTACAGCTCTGCCTCTAGGAGTGTTCAGTGCTCTGCCTCTCGGACTCTACAGCTCTGCCTCTAGGAGTGTTCAGTGCTCTGCTTCTTGGATTCTACAGCTCTGCCTCTTGGACTCTACAGCTCTGCCTCTTGGACTCTACAGCTCTGCCTCTAGGAGTGTTCAGTGCTCTGCCTCTCGGACTCTACAGCTCTGCCTCTAGGAGTGTTCAGTGCTCTGCTTCTTGGACTCTACAGCTCTGCCTCTTGGACTCTACAGCTCTGCCTCTAGGAGTGTTCAGTGCTCTGCCTCTCGGACTCTACAGCTCTGCCTCTAGGAGTGTTCAGTGCTCTGCTTCTTGGATTCTACAGCTCTGCCTCTTGGACTCTACAGCTCTGCCTCTTGGACTCTACAGCTCTGCCTCTAGGAGTGTTCAGTGCTCTGCCTCTCGGACTCTACAGCTCTGCCTCTAGGAGTGTTCAGTGCTCTGCTTCTTGGACTCTACAGCTCTGCCTCTTGGACTCTACAGCTCTGCCTCTAGGAGTGTTCAGTGCTCTGCCTCTCGGACTCTACAGCTCTGCCTCTAGGAGTGTTCAGTGCTCTGCTTCTTGGACTCTACAGAGCTCTGCATCTACTACTCAACCCTGCTACCACATCTGGGAGAGTACCTTACCTTGCGGTTATCTTACGTTGATTCCGGGGATCAAGGTCCCCGCGGCCCGGTCTCTTGACCCAGGCCTCCTGTTTGATGGTCTGGTCAACCAGACTGTTGGACGCGGCTGCTCGCAGCCTGACGTATGAATCACAGCCTGGTTGATTGATTGATGAAGCTTAAGCCACCACCAAGAGGCGGCACGGGCATGAGTAGCCCGTAAGTGGTAGATGTTTGGAGTGAATATGATCTAATCACATTCCTGATGTTTTAGATTCAGCTACTGGGACACAATGACCATGTAGCACAGGCTATGGTGAGCCCGTAAGTGGAAGACCAGTCGGCCGGGCTACGGGAAAGATGTCCGGGTGTTACGAGAGAATTGGTGTCCTTATCCCAGTTCCCCGAAGTTGATAGTCTGGCCGAATTTCCTTCTTGAAGGTGTCGTAGTCACAGAGGTGGTCGAGGCGATCTTGAGGGACGACCACACGAAGGATCCGTCCTGCTTCCCTGCACTTGTATACCCAGTGGTCGTTGTGGATTATGGTGTCGTGCTGTCTGTCCTCCTTGGAAAGTGCGCGGCCACGTCGGATATACCCGGAGGAGGCAGCATATGGGCGCCTGTGTGTCTGGTTGGTGCCGGTGCTGGTTCTGGCGGGAGGGTTGGTGCCGGTGCTGGTTCTGGCGGGAGGGTTGGTGCCGGTGCTGGTTCTGGCGGGAGGGTTGGTGCCGGTGCTGGTTCTGGCGGGAGGGTTGGTGCCGGTGCGGGTTCTGGCGGGAGGGTTGGTGCCGGTGCTGGTTCTGGCGGGAGGGTTGGTGCCGGTGCTGGTTCTGGCGGGAGGGTTGGTGCCGGTGCTGGTTCTGGCGGGAGGGTTGGTGCCGGTGCGGGTTCTGGCGGGAGGGTTGGTGCCGGTGCTGGTTCTGGCGGGAGGGTTGGTGCCGGTGCGGGTTCTGGCGGGAGGGTTGGTGCCGGTGCGGGTTCTGGCGGGAGGGTTGGTGCCGGTGCTGGTTCTGGCGGGAGGGTTGGTACTTGGGCGGCCACTTGAGGGGCGGGAGAGCCGGTAACATCGACAGAAACATCGAAGTCGGTCGATCGGGTTCTTCTTCGGCCTCGTCGTCCTGGGGGCTGCTGCTGCTGTCGTCCCTGTTAGTGGGACAAACTGCGGAGTAGTCGTCGCTGTGGCCGGACAGGGAGGGGGTCCGGAGGGTCCGCCCCGGTCGGGGACTGGTTGGTCAGGTTGATCAGTTGATTACATCCTGGTTGATCAGGTATCATATAGCACATATAGGAGACGTGAGTATATATAGGAGAATACACTTATCAGCTGGTGTCTCTTGACACCTTCACTTCCCCCTCCCCCCCCCCCACACACTTATAAGGTATAGAGGCACCCCAGACACCAGCTGTTGCCTCACCCCCCCAGCTGGTTCATCCACCTTCACCACCTGGCTCCATCAACCCCTCCCAGTTCTCACCCCTTCCCATAAGTTTGATCTTCTCTCCCATTCCCTTCTGGTCACCTCCCCCCCCCCTCTTGTTCTTTCCCCCTGTCACTTCCCTCCACCTCCCTTTCCCTCCTGTCGTCTGCGCCCCCCCCCTTGTGTCGTCTGAGCCCCCCTCCCCCCCCCTCCGTCTAGTTTCATTGCCAGTCGTCAGCCGTCTCATGTCTCATGGTGATTATGGTGACCGTACAAGGCGGTCTTTGATACGCCGCTTCATCACCATCCTCACTATCATGGCCGGCATGCCACACCAGCCTCGCCTTACCACCATACTCACCATCCCTCACCATCATAACCACCGCCACCGACTCACCCCAAGACTCACTTGTGGTGAGTCGGCGACCTTGCGAATTATCTGGCTCTTGGCTAAAGGTAAGTCAATCCATATAGAAAACTTGTGGACCGAGAAAGATCAAATAGAAAACCTGAATTTATTATTATTAACATCTTTATTGACAAAATTAATTACAATTTTGCCTAATCTGAGGATTTCGATTACGTCTTAAGTGAGGATAATGCTGGTATTCACTGTCACGCAGGACAGAGGGTCATACACAAGACAATAGGTCTAAACTGTAAGCTGAAGCACATATATATCATGGTTACAATCAATGTTTTAATGTATGGATATGTGAAAACAACTTTCTATTGTGCACTGCCACACATTGGCAGGGATGGGTTCATAAGTGATGCAGCTTAGAAGAAATATAAATAAAAATTCTTCTTCATTCTTTAAAATGGACAAGCAAATTTTGGATAAATTGTTAGGATGTCGTCCAGAACACCTGAGTCAATAAAATAGTTACACAGTTGGTGGTACAATAGGCCAGGAGGTCTAAAGTCCTTTACAGTTTCACATTCAACAATATAGTGTTCTAGTGAATGCATTAAAGGTTTATCACAGAGTTTACAATCTGAGTATTCTGGTAGTGGCTCAGCCTCACTAACCTGCCAGATGTGTCAATAGCCAAGGCGAATTCGCGCAATGACTACATCACATTGTCTGGTCCGAGATAGAAAGGACAGAACACCCGAGCTAAATGAGATAAAGATGTGCTAAAACAGAGATATAGGCTCAGTTTGAAGAGAGAATGAGGAGTTAGAAGAGAGAGAAAGAGGAGTTAAGAAGAGAAAGAGGAGTTAAGAAGAGAAAGAGGGAACTAAAGGAGAAAATGGAACTAACAAGAGAAAATGGAACTAAAAGTAAGTGGAACTAAAAAAAGAGAAAGGGAAGCTTAAAGAGAGAAAGATGACTTAAAGAAAGAAAAGAGGAACTAAAAGAGTGAAATAAGTTTACAGAGAGCAAAAGGAAATACAAAGAGCGAAAAGGCGCTAATTGAGAGAAAGTGGAACTAAAAGTGAGAAAGATCTAAAAGCAAGAAAGAGAGAATAAGAGGAAGCTAACAGGGGTGACTAAGTACTTGTTGATTGTGGGTTATTGTTGGCCTCTGACGCCTGGGGGGGGGTGGCTGGGGTCAAGTGCCCCCCCCACCCACCCTTTGGTCCGATTCATCACTAATCCTTCCGCATCACTGGTCTTGGTGGTCGTCCTCAGGTCCTGGTGGTCGTCCTCAGGTCCTGGTGGTCGTTCTGTGGTCGTCCTGGTAGTCGTCTTCTGGTCCTGGTGGTCGTCCTCTGGTCCTGGTGGTCGTCCTCTGGTCCTGGTGGTCGTCCTCTGGTCCTGGTGGTCGTCCTCTGCTCCTGGTGGTCGTCCTCTGGTCCTGGTGGTCGTCCTCTGCTCCTGGTGGTCGTCCTCTGGTCCTGGTGGTCGTCCTCTGGTCCTGGTGGTCGTCCTCTGCTCCTGGTGGTCGTCCTCTGGTCCTGGTGGTCGTCCTCTGCTCCTGGTGGTCGTCCTCTGCTCCTGGTGGTCGTCCTCTGCTGCTGCTGGTCGTCCTCTGAGACTACCTTACAACAGTTCTGCCTCGCCTCTAGTCGAGAGAGGCTAGGCCTGGTCGAGGACCGGGCCGCGGGCACGCTGAGCCCCGAAATCATCGCAAGGTAACCTCAGTGGAAACAGAGTCAGGTCTATACGAGGCACTGTGCCACCATACTAAACGTCGGTCTACTATATGGAACACTGGTTATCCACATATCTCTGGGACCATCAAATAAGAGAGAGGGAATAATATAGAGACTGAGATTAAGTAAGAGTGTTGTGCAGTGATGGAACGCCCCGGAGCCCCAGCGGTGTAGGGTCGGCCCGCCACGCACTCCTCCCTCCCTCACATTAAGATTGCACTATCTCTACCCCCTCGACCCGTCACTGCACCCTCCCTCACCCCTATCTGCTGTCCACGACAGGCTAGCTGGACATGAGAATAGGGGATGGGGGTGGAGGAGGGGGGGGGGAGACTTGCACGTTCTCCTGGTATCAGTGTGGCTATCTCTTGCCTGGGGAACGGGGTCGCGGGGGAGGGGTCAAGGTCTAATTGACTGCGGAAGCAGTGAAACGCCTGTTTAATGCTTCAAAGCACGGCATGACCTCTACGCCTTGCGGGATGAATAATGCAGAGTGGTGGTGATCTGCGGTGCCTGGACCCCCACAGCGACGACCTTCGGGGGTCGGACCTTTCGTCGGTAGTCTTGAGAGTGAGGAGTTACGACCCCGGGGCGGGGGCGGGCAGGGTCGAGGTCCTGGCTTATGATGGCCTTGGGAAATATGGAGCTGCCTTGATAGCTGTGGCGAATACCTGAAGCGGGAGACTTGCCGGCGGCTCGTGTTGATTCTGTGTTGTGCAGCTCGTAGGGGGTCAGGGGCAGGTCAGGGGCAGGTCACGGCAGGTCGCCTCGGGGGCACGTATCCTAAAGTGAAGTGTACTCACCTAGTACCTAGTGCGGGGGGTTGAGCTCTGAGTTATGGGGGGCTGGTGAGGGAGTTATGGGGGGCTGGTGAGGGAGTTTTGGGGGGCGGGTGAGGATGGGGGGTTATGGAAAGAGGAGTGGGTATGTGTAGCGTCCCTGCCATAGGTGGTGCCCACGCCTGCCCATACTGTGGTCTTGTGTTGGGTGTGTCAGTCTTGGCGCCAGGGCTCCCATACCCTCCCATACCCCTCCCTTGTCTCTTCCCATCACCTTCACTTGCTCTCGCTCTCCTCTCCCCCCTCCCTCGCCCCTCCTCACACACCATCTTCGCCCCGATACTCGCGCCTCGCTACATACAAGGGCGCCTTGCTGTAACACCCACAACATATTATCAATGTCGGCAGAAGAACAGGCAGCAACAGCATTCATTACCAGAATAAATACTAGCACTAACTAGAGTACTTCTAAATATATATTTATTTCCTGTATAGGTTACAACATTGCTACCTTGCAGCCCCTTCAAGGACCTTCTACCTTCCATCACCCCATGATGGAATGGGGTGATTGTGTAAAGGAGGAAATGTATATGTTTATCTCTCAGAATGTTCGGTAATACGTTTCTTGTTTGTGATGTGTGTCTATGTATGTATTAACACGATGTACTGAACGGGGTGAGAATAGCTTGAGCTACCTCATCCCTTTGTGTGTATTTTACCTCAATAAACTTATTTCAATTTCAAATTCTATTACCCCATTACCTCACTTCCCATATCTCCCCTCACCCCGCCCCTACACCCCCCCCCACTTCCTTTCCTTTAGGCCTTGCTGCCTTCCAGTTCCCCCTCCTCCTCCTCCTCCATCCTACCCCCCCCCTTCCCCTCATCCTTCTCCCTACTTCCCTATTACTTCTTGATTATCTTTCCCATTGTCCTCCCCACAATTCTCAATCAGCTTCCCCTTCCCCACCACCACCGCCTCTCCCCTTTCCCTCGCTCCCATTCCATGTCCCTTCCCCTCCCCCCTATACCCCTCTCACCCCCTTCATAAACTCCCATGTGCCCCTCAGTACCGAGGGTGTTTACCTTGCACACACACACACTCTACATCAGGTTTACACGAGTATCCCCAGTTTTCATTTGCAATTATAGGAATTTATGCGTCCGAGTAGTTTGCCCTGTGATTTATTTAGCTGTTTTTGTTAGCGGTCGCTGGGTTACCTTACCTTACCTTACCTTACCCAGGTGGCGTAAGATGGGGAGGATTTTCCCTTCCTCTTGGGGGGGGGGGGCTAGGAGAAATCTGTTTGCTGTTCAGTGCCTTTTTGATAATAACTTTTTACTTTTTTGTTTTTTTAATAGATGATACAGAAGTAGATTAATTGTAATGATCCCGTTTGCAGGATTAGATCTCTACCTTTTTCACAGGTTATCTTAAGGCTTACCCAGGTTATCCAGGTTATCGTAGGCGGTTATCTTAGGTTTCCCCTGGAATACAATACGCTTATCAGTTTACAACCAGCTCCCCAATTACTGCTGAGTGAATAGGGGGCGAACAGTCAATTAATTAAGAGTTTGTGTCCACACTCACACTTACATCTTATGGTGCCACACACTTTTTACACTTGAGTGGCTCGATACACTCTCACTTTAAGCTGTGGGAACGCACTCTCACCCCACCAGTGACTGAATTCTCATACATTTACATAAGTGTTGATGCACTTAGTGCTAGATGGCCCGAACACTTGGGGTGTTTGCCCCAAAGGCAGAGGCCGCCTTACCTACAACACCTGTAGGTAACGGAGAAGCCGCCTTACCTACAAACCAGGCTGTTGGACGAGGC